AGAAATAAGGTGGTGGCAGAAAACTCTGTTTGGGTGGATTGGTGCTAGAGATTGGAAATGAAAGGCTTCAGTCTTTGAATGTTTATGAGGAAAGGTGGTGGTGGTGGTGGTGGGGAGAATGTTTAATGCAACCCACAAACTTTACTATCTCAGACTACCCCCTAGTTTTAGCCACCTTCCCCACAGATGGTTGTTAAAGAGGCTGGTGCAGAAGTGAGGAACTTGCTCCCCCCTCCTCCCCGTTTTCCAATATGAGAAGTTGGAAATGCCTTGAATTTTAAGCTGCATTTTCCCCCTTCCCTGCCCCCACCTTTCTTTCTTTCTTTTTCTTTTTCTTTTTTTTTGTCTCTCCTCCCCTCCTCCCAGCCCAGCACCACACAGCTGCCTGGAGAACTGGCCAGGTGCCAGGCACTGGCAGATGGCGCACGGCTATTATTCCTCCTCCTTCGCTCAAGTCCCAGTCCCAGCTCCTGCTATTTAATCAAATTATAGGAAAAGGCAATTTACTGGATTTCTTATTCTTTGCAGCGAGTTTCATTCCCCCGCACTGCCTCCCCAAGTCTCTCCAGTGCTCTTCTTCTCCCCCCATCTCCCCTGCTTTGTTTCCCACCCCCCTTCTTGCTTTAGTATACATCTTGCTCTCCCCCTACTCCCTCCACAGACAAACACACACACACATGCACACTGCAGAAGGTAAAGATTCGGAATTGTCAGTGAAGTTGGTTTCTTTGATCCAATCCTTCCACCTTGACAGCATGTTGGAAGATCCAGCCTAAGGAGGTAATTCAAGGGACTTTAAGATGTACAGGCAAGCATATGGGGAGAAAAATCCTTGAAAAATATGTGGCCCAAACACACCACCCCTGTGATATGCAAATGAAGCAGAAATCCACGTCATTTTTTTTTTTTAATGCCTGAGAATCTTTCGAGAGGCCTAATTTTGCAAGTAGTGCTCATTCTGAAACTCCCCGACCAGTATCAAGAGAGGGCACAAGTGATGCTCTTTTTTTCATTCCTTTGATTAGTCATATTTATGCTCAGGGCAGATCCCTTGCTGCCAATGCCCCAGTTAAGTCTTAAAATGGCATAATGTGACATTACTGCCTTATATCAGGGGATGGATTGGACATCAGCTTCCATCATCCTTCTCCACCATGCTGGTTGAGGATGTTGTGGAATCAGGCCAGCATATCTGAAGAGTGCTAGATATTGAGAGACCAGTAACCTCTTGAGTGTGCCCAACTAAGACATCCTTCCTCAGTGAGATGCCCTCCAGATATGTTTGCAACTCCTATAATTCCCATGGTGGCTGGGGAATTCTGGGAGTTGCGGTCCCCACAGAAGAAGGGTGGTAAGCTTGGTTTTCTAACCAAGTTCCATTCAGAGACTTTCAGTTACTGGTGGATTAGAAATATAAAAACAGTAATAAAAATGTGTGGCCACTGGATAGGGATGAGTGGAAGTGTCTTTCAACATAGCTGGGGGGAACTCTAGGCTTTGAAGCAGAGAGAGATCTTTCTCACTGCACTAGAAATGCACAGATTGATGTAAAAGCTCTTGTATCCAAAGCAGATGACCCTTTTGCAATTCGTATTCTGGCCAAAAGTCCAGGTTTTGCTGTACCTAGAAGCAATTCTGCAAGAAATTCACCAATTCCTGCTGTCTAGTTGAGTTGCCTGCTGCTTGCCCCACCCCCACCCCCCATCTCTTGATGCTGAGTGTTTTTGACTCTGCCTCTGAGCAAACCAAAGCCTTGCCTCTTACTTGCCATTTTCAGCACAGGCTTACTCTGTTCTGAAAAGACAAGTTACGGTATTTATTTAACTGATGCGATTTGAATCTTGCTTAACTACTTGGGCATTTCATCAGGGCAAGGATGTCTCTCCTGAATTTTCAAGGTTTTTTAGCTACCATCTTCAGTTCTTCAGGGAAAGAAGGAAAAGATGCTAGCATCAAGCAGGTAGGCTGCAATGATGGCTGCCAGCTCCACATGACAGAATCTGCTGGGGATCTTCAGGGGTCTAAATTTTTTAAAAACTACAAACACACGCACACAGATCCATCACAAAAAGGTTGCCTATTTGCAGAATCAGACCAAACGCCAATCTAGTCTCTGATCCTGCTTCCAGCAACCCCTCTGCCAGTCTTTGGAGCAAAGACTACAATTGCCAGCTCTGACCTGGTCCTCTTACATTAGAGCCAAGTTTGTGTGTAACCCCTGTTTTTCTTTTTCTGCATCTGCTGGAGTCTGCTCCAACCAGAACTGCCAAAAATTGACATCACGAGTTCCTGCCATTTTGAATTGTTAGACACAAAAGCCTAAAATAGATTTAACCCAGCTAAACAAAGACTCATGCATGCACATGCGCGCACGCGCACACACACATACACACACACACCCAGAAAACCCAGAGGGGGAAAAACAACAGAAAGTTTTGACCTGCCTACCTTGCATCATTGGTCCTGCCCACTCAGCCCTTGCCTTCCCAAAAAATGTAGATTGGCCCCTAGCCATCAAAAGTCGCCTACTCTGTCTTACATGTTCGTAGCCAGTTGCACGTTGTATAGAACAAGCCATTTTTCTTGTCCATGTCTCCCCTGAAAAGAAGGGAAATCCCACATTGTACACCAGGAAAGCTACACGTTGCAATCTGAATACATTGCCCCCGTATGTTTGCAAGTGAAACATGAATTTAAAAATGTTTTCAGCTTTTTACTTTTCAGAGGTTAAAAACTATAATTGTAGTCCAACAGATAAAATCTCTCCCAAACACATAGATGCAGCAGCACCCAAAACAGAACAGGGGAGACACCCTGTTACAGAGATGTGCCACTCCTTTAAACCAGCCAGAACCAAGAGATTAAAAAAAAAAAAATCATCTTGCAAAATGTTGATGTAGGGGGGAGATAATGTTTGTTTTGACCTGATACCTGATGTCCAAGGAGGGTGTTGTGAGTTTTTTCCCCTTTGGCAGGAAGACACAGAGATGTAGTTTCCCAGCAACTGGGAATTTGCAAGCCTCTCTCTATCCTTGAGGACTAGAAAGTTGAGTTATGAAACAGGAACCAGTGTTTCCCACTGTAAAGGTTTGTGTCCTCAGCTCTGTCTTTAGGCATGTGTGCACTTTGGTACTCAACAGCTGGACTGGAAGCTATTAATGGGGCCGATACTAACTGTCCCAAGGGTAATTACCTTGACATGGTGGGAGGGCTGAGTAGTTCCAGTGAACCTCAGAGCAGCATTGATGGGAACCCCTGATAGAATCACTCTTGCCAGTAGGATCAAAAAGGAAGGACGAAGACTAAGAGAGCATTACTCAAACCTGGTTGGGTGAGAGCAACGACATTGCACTCTCAGAGATCTAATCACCTTGGTTTTGGGCCTTGCATCAGCTACAATGGAAGAGTGGCAATGATCCTTAGAAGAACTTTGGTGACTAAGGGCCCTGCTTCAGAGGTGGTGGGCTGTGACTGCCTATATGTGACCTTGGGCTAGAAAGACATGCTAGAGATTCTGCTTATAGAACATCCACCTTTCCTCAATTCCTGGGCCTCATTTCAGGACTGATTTTGTAGTCTCCCTCGCTTATAGTGTTGGGGGACTTTAGTTCCCATGCCTTTGGGTAGGATCCTGAGAAAACTCGGGAATTCATAGTTTCCATGGCAGCCATGAACTTGTCCCAGGTAATCTTTGGTCATACTTTAGATCTTGTCTTTTCCTTGGAGCAATTGATATATGATCTGAAGATGGAGGACATTTCAGTGAGTCTTTTGCTGTGGTTGGATCCCTTCTTGGCTCACCTGAGATTAGTCACTGTCTCCAACCCCTGCAGGATAGAAGGGCCCATTAAAAGTAGGCTTGCCCCAGGAGGCTTATGGATCTGAGTAGATCCCAACAGGTACAAGGGGAGTTCTCAGCAATTTGGAAGGCAATTCTACCAAACACTGGGTCTAGCTCTGGAATATGGAAGTGACCACAGTGCTTGGCAAGGTGATCCTGAGGAGCTTATGAAGATGCAGTAGCACAGGGACACCTCAAGAGTTGGAGGAAGACCAAAGAGAACTTGTATGAACTCACACTTGAGTCTAGACTCTGGCAATAAAGGTGGTGAAGCACTTGTATTTCTCCACTGTTGTTGGGTTGGTAGACTGCCCCAGTAGCTTGTTGGGAGTAACCTGCCCTGTGTTGTATAGGGAGAGTCAGCAAGATCTGCCAACAGGCCTCTGTGAGGTTTTAGGGCAACATTTTGCCAATAAAATCACTCAATTTTGCCCAAGTATGCACGCCACATGGGTTGCATTGGTGGAGATGACTGAGTTCTCATGGGAAGAGCTCTCCTCCTAAAAGCTGATATATTGCTTCCTTTGGGCTTTACTGAATAATCCACAATTGGCTGGGTTCACGCAGCACCCTAAGCAAAGCAGAACAAACCATATTATGGTATAGTACATTGAGTAAACCCAGAATCAACTGCATGGTTTTCATTGCTTAATCAACAGGCAGTGTTTTACTATGAGGGACTTCAGATGAATGGTCCATGTGTTTGGGGGAGAATATTTAGGTTATTCTATTTTCAGTGGGTCAACTGATAACAGGGGATGGAGAGCAAATACAGAGTTCTATGTCTACCAAGTTATTTGTCAGCTAAAACCAACTGGGAGCCCTTCAGGTTTGTTGAGACTCCATTACATTCGGCCAACATGGCTGATGGTCAGAGATAATGGGAGGTAGAGGTCTAAAATACCTGCAGGAACCTTGATCTGATAGGCTGGATCAAGCAGCTGGCTATAAATCTGCTAATTAGTCCTAGCATGCTTCCACTTTTAATATGTTTTCATATGTAAAGAAGATCTCTAACACTTTTAAATGTTATACTGATTTTGGGCACGGAGGGATCTCATTGTTCATTTTTCTTGGAATGGAAAAATGGAATATAAAGGCTTAAATAAAGAAATCAGAGAAACCAGAAGGAAGCAGGCCTTCTTAAAAAAACCCCAAAAAGAAACAAACTACTGGAAACATAACATAACTTGGAAAAAGTTAATTCTCCCTTCTCTTCCTGTTTTCCCCCCAGGTGTATCCACCCAACTCAGGTGATGAATACAGCAGGGAATCAGCCAGCTACGCACCTTCCAAGCCCCCCAGCACTGTATACCCTGGAGCCTTCTACATGCCAGGTAGGTAACCTACAGCAAAAGAACTCAACTATTGCAGCCATCCACAACCTGCATTTCCTCCAGAGGAGTTGACCAATTCTCGATAGTGGCCATGCTGGCTGGGGAATTTTGGGACTTGGAATTGGTAGCTCTGGAGAGTGCTAGGTTGGAGAAAGCTGCGCTTTTGAGAAAGCGGGGGTGGGAAGAGATTTTTTGTAATTTATGCCAGGAGCTAGCAACCTTGTCAGGCAGCAGTCATCATTATGCAACATCTCACAGTATTATAGGTACTTAGAAATAAAAATAAATAATTAAAATGATTGCTGGGAAATTCTGAGAGTTGCAGTCCAGCATGACTGGAGGGTTCCATATTGGGGAAGTCTATCCTAAGGGCCTCTGATGGGAAGGAAGATGTTGGACTGAAGGTTCAGCTGAATGATCCTTACCTGAACCCACTTCAGCTCTTCTTTTGGCTTCCTAGCTACCTGAAGGCTTTGAAAATCTTCTCTTGGGCTTTGAGATCTCAGGTGCCTGCATGTCCAAATGTAGATTTATGGATTCCAGCTATGAAACCTTCTCTTACTTGCAAGGGTATTAAGTGAAATGGGAAGTCAACTCCCTTCCTTCCACCCCAAAATCACCAGTGTTTTTGATTCTTATCTTCCTGCCTTGTAGATGGGCTTCACAACTCGGCAGATCTATGGAGTTCCTCCAGCAGCATGAGCCAGTCCAATTATGGGGCCATCTTGGGCGCTTCTTCCTCCCCGCTTCCCCAGTCCAGCAACTTCAGCAGTCTTCACCAGCATGAGCGCATGGTAATAGAGACTGGGTCTCTGGTGTGTTATGAGTACATGTAAAGATTGGTAGATTCTATATGTGCACATGCAACTACCCAAAATTAAGAATGTGTGATATATTTTTTTTTACAAAAATGAATAGAACTTTATGCTTTCATGTTCTTTATTTACTTTCTTATGTCTGGAATCACAACAGTTTACAATGTAAAACAAATATACAATTAAAATTGTCCATCAAGGGTAGCAAAAAACAATAAAATCAGTACATAACAGCTAAGTTGCCAATGCAGTTAATCACAGTGGCATAACATCAGATCTTTAAATGCCTTGCAAAAGAATCCTTTTGGAACAACAGCAGGGTCTACTGTTCTCAATTTATCCTCAGCTGGAATGAGCATACAAGATAGCTTCGTTCTGCCTTTAGCGACAGTCCTGAAGATACTTGGGAGCAAAGCCATCTAGGGTTTGAAATGTAAACTTTGAATTGTACCTGGAAACTTATTGGAAGCCAAGGCTGGGCCTACAGTATAGGTCAGTGTTTCTCAACCTTGGCAGCTTTAAGATGTGTGGACTTCAACTCCCAGAATTCCCC